AATAAAAAGTCCACGTATGCAAACCTGAAGGCAAAAAATTAATTGTGAGATGTTAAAAAAATAAATCTAGAAAAAATTCATGCTTTCAAATGACAAATGCTGGATTATGTGGTTTCCAACAGTCTAAAAGCCAATATTTTAGCATTGTAGAAATTTTCAAATAAAATATCTCGAAGCTAGCGACTCACAGAAAACGTTGTCTATTCGTCACTCACGGGAAAATTGTATTTGTTAATTTATTCAGCCAAGGTGTTACGAAAATGACTTTCGTACGAGCGTAAGAAATTTAAAAATCGGCTAAACTTATTAAAAGAAAAAAGCACATCCAGCAAACGATATGATTTCAGCTTTCATCGCTATTATTCATTCGCCGAGTCTTTGGCAAATGTGCCCTCGATATAGAAGTTTGGCGAAACTCGAGGGATCAAATACATTCTGTGTACAAAGTTTGACACAGGTCAGCAATTTCTTATCCAATTTTTATTTAGCATCGGAGTTACGGTAAAGTTATTCGCTAGAAAGTTACAAATGGTATAAAATTACGTTCGAGAAACTTCCGCTACGTTCGCCCCTAAGAGATTTACATTTTTATAACCACGTCGAGACCGTTTACTCGAAACGTGAACTTGTATTAATACAATCCCGATAGACGCAATTTTATTAAATACAATTGCGATAAGTAGAAAATTTCTATTAAATACAATTGCGATAAGTAGAAAATTTCTATTAAATACGATTCACTTTCTACGTTTTCGCTCCGTTGACATTTAAGCATTCGAAAGAATTGATGTTCAATTGATTTCAACCGATGATTCCAATTTTTTGTTTTATTGGAAATACAATTTAATGCAATACAATACATCAAGGAAATATACGAAACGCGATAGGCGCATCGCGTTTCGATTGTTACGTTGCATTCCCTGCGATGTTTGTTGTAAAAATATGTATACCGAAATTCACGGTGCGTTTTACTCGTTGCTAAATGAGAGAGTGCAAACAGCGAAGGCAAGGAAATTACAACGTTACAAACAGTACGTTGTAGTCTATTCAAAAGGAAAGAAAGAATATCTGACACAATACCGAAATCGCATACACGATAGCCTCCACAGGAAAATAGCGCAGCCCTTTTAAAATTACTGAACAAGAATCATTAGGAATATTTAGAAGACAAAACGTACTTTGATTCAAATTTATGTTCTTCATCCGTGTCTATAAAAATATGAATACCTATAAACCAGGACATTCCTACGAACTCTTAATACATTAATCAGTCGAATTACTCCGTGAACGCTATAATAAAACGCGTTACAAGATCATTCACGGTTAGGGTTGAAGCTCTACTCGTCCCCCGCGAAAGGTTTAGGAATGATACCCCATTGTTCCCACGCGATAGGAGTGCCATTCAGCCACTTTCTCGAGAGGCGATGATAGATGTACCCTGGCAGATTTAGACGCACTTAATGAGTTCCTTTTCCGCGACACGGTCTATTATCAGTCGCATGCCACGTTTACCCCTTGGAGCATCGGGAGAAAGGGTTGCACCGCGAGAAAAAGACGAAGGAGGAAGAAAAAAATAATGCTGAATACAAAGCAACTCTCTTGAGCAATACTCGCGCGTACGGAGAGAGATGTAACAGCCACGAAACACCGGATTAACTTCTAGCTGCGTTCTTGCGAGGCGCACCGGGAAAACAACAGGACGCATCCAGGATTACGACGACGTCGTTGACGACGACGTCAACCTCGACGACGGGACGCACGCGCGTGGAATTTGAGTTGAAAGGCCTTGGACCACGCTTCGGGGGATTCCAAAAGCCTCCCGTCCAACAGCCACTTGGCGGAATTCGAAGCACAATGCCAACAACGCGGAATTACACCGCGGAACCGTAATGATAGCTGCTTAATTAGTGCCTCTCTACATTTTCATGCATCGGACTTGCACTCCAGGTGCTACTAAACGGGGACAGGGGATCCCGTAACGTATTAAAGATAGAGAAAATTCTAGGGGCACTTCCTCATTGTGTGTCTCGATTGCGCTTCAGGGACTCTGTTTATTTAACGTCTTTGTGCGAACGTAACGAAACGTGATGCAATAAACAAGGTAACGGCAATATGGTCATTCTATGTGGAAAAATGAAGCGAAAATACGGAGCAAAAGTTTTAATGAAATGTGATTTGTTTTCGAAAACAAGTGCTTTGATAATTCGCGCACATTTGCTGTATATTATTTATATTTATATTTTGATTAACTGTGAAAGTTGATTTTTTGAATAACGTACTGCGTGGGGGGTGAGAAGTTGGATAGCGAGTCTCATTGGTAACAGTATACTCTCCTTGATTGCATTATAAAATTCTGTATTGTACTGTCGAGTTACAATCTATACTATAATGTAGAGTTCTGTGGTATAATTTAGGAAATCATACTGTTACCTCAAGGCTCATCATGGTAATCGAACAGGAAAATCAAAAATTGAATCAGCATATGTGTGAAACGAGAAGAACGTACGAGATAATCCGCGAACGAGAAAAGAGCAAAGTGGTGAAATAATACGGATTGCCGAATAATCGCTCGCGAGGTCGTACGTAAAAGTGTCACAATGTTAATAAATTATTCCGTAATGCGAGGAAAGCTTACGAAAGGATTGAATGAACTTCTTATCTACAGTTCTCCTTTCATCGTGGCCGGAAGCAACGAGAAACCCTCGCGTCAAATGTTTGAGATGACATTTTATACCGAATGTTTCGCGTGGATTTATAATGTAAAAAGAGAGGATAACGAACGCGCGGGTATGGCTTCTCCAATTATGTTCAATTCAAAAACACGACGTTTTTATGCGCGTAGTCGTTGGTATATGGGCGCTTTTTTCAGAAAAACTGCTGAGCGTAATTTGCGCCAGTTTTTCTCTCCAAAATCACTTTGGCTCGTGTACGAGGAATGCTTTGTATTCTTCCAGTATGACATAGATTTTAACAATTACCCCGGCCGGTACGATATTTCACGTAGCTCCGAGAACACGACGTCAAGTTTCATACGACAGAGATTTCTGCTTGAGCTCGATTTTTTCGAAATTGTTGGTTCAACAACTGACAACGTCCCGTTGCTTTACACGTGCCGTGGCTTGACAGAAGATTAATCGAGGTATGTGTTAATCGAGCTATATGTAAATTAAAACGGGCGAATTATGAACCCGAAACGAAATAGGGAATGAAAGGAAAATGTAAACCGAATATTGCACGCGCATCGATGATCCTGGCATTGTTGTTAAAGCATCATAACATTCGCTCGTACGCGAATCTACAATTCCAAATATGATTTAATATAAGTTGCAAAATTAATTACTACCCGTCGACATATCGAATATCCATCATCATTTTCCGATGAAATTATGTACAACGTTAATAATAGGACAAATCCAACGAATATACGGGAAATCGACTTTTGATTTTCTTTAATATTGTGGTGTACCTAAATTATTTACGATTTTTTGTGTTAGTAAAACGAATGCTATCGTACTGTTACGTATAATATTCCTTATTTTCGTATCAAATCAAATTTGCCCATATCTAAGTTTGTGTTAGTCATCGTTTCGCTATCAAAAATTGATTCCTCGACAATAAACAAAGAAACGGGCAAAACGACTACTGTGTACAACGCGTCGAGCAGCACGCCGACTGGTAAAATTTCGCAAATCGATTGTACAAATACAAAGGCAGATCCGTGTCTTGCATTCACGTACGATAACAGCCAAGAAACAATTGCTCCGCGTGCAAGCACGAAGTTCTCGGTTCTCGATCAAATCCCGCAACTACAGGAGCGCAAAACTTTTCGACGCTCATGAAACTTTCGAACGTCCGACCAGGCGTGTATTGGTAAGTTTATAGTGGAAGGGGTGAACTCACAGAGGATTAATCTCACATTGAGTCTGCGCGCTCGGAATCCCGATAATCAAAAGCGTTGATACTCTCACAACAAGCAACGGTTATATAGTGTCTGGTAAATGATCAGCTGACCTATTCCGTCCCCAGAGACGGGGAAAAACACGAGCATCGGTGGGACACTCGCTACGGATGACGCAGATTGAAGAATAACACCGCCGTTCCTAAACTACCGTTCCGAATCAAGTCTCCAGTTATAGATCGCCGAACGTAACCGATAAACGATCGTTAAATCGTTTAAGCAACAACTATGGATAATATCTCGTGTACGCCAACCGAAAGTCTCGAGTTTTCACGGTTCTTCGCCCACCCTTTGCAGAGGGATGCTCTCAACGCGAATACAAATTTTATTTGAACACGGCAGAACAACTGCAAAGTTTTCACGTAAATTTTTAACGTGGCGGGATATTCGACAACGTGCCGCCCTTGTGTAAGGGTCTCTTCAAGGTCGAGGATTGAATAACGTACGAGGAGAAATTAATCTCACGTGAAAATTGTAATGCAACGAAATTCGATAATAGTTTGGAATGTAGAATTTTAGAAAGTTTGGAATTTAACAGTAAAACTAGCGACGTAACATATATTTGTAATTAGTAGACTACTGATACTTGTGCATTTATAACAAGCTTAAATTATATAAATAACCGTAAGTATATAAAATATAAAAAATAAAATACTTTAATTTATTAATTAATTTTTACAAAACAATCTAGTCTAATTTGTCAACGAACCATTGTTAACAGTCGAGTGGTTTCAAGAAGAAATTTAAACTGGACACGTCAACTTAACCAACTTGCTATTTTAGCGTTACTAAAACCATGAAACTTGTCAAGCCCAAATAAAATTTCCAATCGCCATACCTTATATATCAACAACAAATTAAACATTTTCCACGTTCCAGGTTCCCACTACGAATCGTAACCTGTAAAAACAGATCACTCCCCCAGAAGACCAACGAATTGAACATCCTCGACAATCGAAGTCTCGAAACTTTCAAACACGTATCACCTGCCCGCTCCGATTCGAACGTATCCACGCGCAGCGGTTGGAGCGTATATACGTACGTGATTTTGTGAGTTGCAAAACCGATAGTCACGATCATCCGGTAATCCTGTCCAGTCCGAACCACTTCCCGTGCATCGTGTCAGCTGGCCGGCCACTACGCGTAATAAAAAACTTAATCACGAGCACAGACGCAAACAAGTAGTACCGAACGTCGTTCGACGTCTCATCGTCGCGATAATCGTCGTTTTCCGAGTCCGCGCGTTTTGTTTTTCATCCCCTATATCCGGACACACGCGGCGGCCGCGACGTTTCGTGCGCCACGCGTGCTCGTGGCTGATAAAAAATGATAATCGTGACGATCGGGAGTGTTGTCGTGACGGCAGTGCCACGGTGGTTCCTGTATCACTTTGCTCATCCCACTGTCACCCGTAACACGCGACACGTTTATCGCTGGCACGCGTCCGGCGTTACCGACAGAGCAAACTCGTTACTAGGTTAGAATTCGCTGAAAAGGGATCCCGGTGAGCGCACGCTACTAGAAAGCGGTCTCGCTTTTCCCCTCCCTCGTCCAGACCACCCTTCCCCCCCCCCAAAAAAGCTCCTACCCCCGCCCGCCCCCTCCACGGTCGGCGTCGGTGGTAGTCTCTCCAGGATCTCGGGAAAACTTTACTGGAAAGCGGCAGGCGGCACGGCTCTGCAGGGTGGGGGTTGACAGATACCGTACACCCCATCCAGAGTTTGAGTAGGGGAAAACTCTGTTCCCCTCGCTCCGGCGCCCCTCTTTGTCTCTGTGTGTAAGCACGAACGCGGTAAATAAAAAAGTTTCAAGTCACTCGCGAATCCGCCGGGCGGGCAATGCGCAGGAACCAAGATGGCGGATTACTTCGCAAAAGTTTCTTGGAACACCTACGAATTCCCGAACGGCGCCCACCGCAACGGAAGAAAAGTATTTACTTAACGGTGGTGGGGGTGAGGGGATAGTCGGACGCGCAACAAAGAAAATTATTGCGAGCTCAACCCCGCTGGTTAATCCCTCGTTCGCGTGAAAATTACCGCGAAAACAGCTAACAGAAGCGGAACTGTCGATCGTCTGATGATCGATTGAACGAACATCGGAAACTCGAACTAGGTATCGTATGAAACTCGTGAATCCTTTGTTATTCGACTATTCCTACGGACGAATGTGCGAGTCGCGGTAATATTGTTGCGCAACTTTGCCGCAAGTTGGGAAACTTTTGGTCGCTTAACTCTTGCTGAGTAGTTTGCGAGTACGGGGTGTTAAGAGAAATAAAAATGATCATACACTCGATCATGTACACCCTGTGTCGGGTCAGGATACGAGCAATCACTGATCACTATGATGCTACGAGGAATGAAACATCGTCTAGGTGGTCAGCCGATGCTGCAAAGAGTTAAGAAATCTTGCCCGCGATCGTACGCGCAACTTCCCCATCAGACCCCCCCGTCGTCGTGTTCGCTGCTCCGCGAGACGTTCATCCGAGCAAGTCCTCGAAAAGTTTGCCCACGGTGGGACGGAAGTTACGCGAACGCGAGTAACACGTGGCGAGCATAGAGAAAAGCGCGGCATCGTTCGAGTATCATCCGAGTATCATCCGAGCAAGGGATTGCAGCGATCGACGGACGGAGGCGTCAAATCGGAGGCATATTCGGCGACTCGGGGATGTATAGAGGGGGTCGGACCGCCTGAAACTTGAAAAGTGCATACTCGACACGCGTGCGATGATTTCCTTCTCATCGTCGGAAGCTGTCTACTTGCGGAGGTAGCCGTACCTGGTTGCCTGCCGCCTGCCTTCGTGGGAGTCAGCTAAGGGAAATCAATATCTCACTAGGGGTAGAGAATACGAGAAAGAGAGAGTACGAACTAGACCGAGAGTAGGAGTCGGCGAAGGAAAAGGAGAAAGAGGAGGCAGAGAAGATGTAGGAGGAGGTGAACGGAGGAGGGCAGCGTCAGGGTAACCGGGAAGGAGAAGAAGGCAGAGAGGGTGGAAAACGTGGGTGAGAAGGACGCAGTCAGCGCTCGTCGACCTCGCACGCTTGCGGTCCTCCGCGGACCGTAGTGCCACGCGTGAACTAGAGTACCGCGGGTAGCGTACTCGCGCAAGAATAAATCCCCCACTACTAGACTGTCGTCGCTCGTTATTACCGGCCGAGCGCTCGGTCGGTCACACGCGCCGCCAAACGGGCCAGTTCTGTCGGTAGCGCGTGCCGCGTGTGTTACGTTCTTTCGCGTTTGCAAACCAACCGACCGTCACACCGCGCACGCTACCTGGACAAAAACACGTTACCCCCGCGTGTGCCAACCGTAACGCAGCCAGCTCGTTCCAATTCTGTCGGCCGCTTAGCGGGAACTGGAGACGAAAACCTTGCCCGCACCGCGTTGCCGTCCTCCTGACTCGCTCCAAACTCACTCTCATTCTCTATCCCCCTTTGCAACCCCTCCCGGAGAGACCGTTCTTGTTCTCTTTCCGCGTACACCCCTCTCGCTCGCTCAGCGTTCTCACACTCCGCGCTCTTCTCAGCGAAACTTTCCCGGCGTCGGGACACGCTGCCACCACCACCACTACCACCACCGCCACCCTCTGGTACCGGTACCAACACCATCGTCGATCCACCACCACCCTCAACCCTCGCGTTACCTTCGTCTTTTCTACATTTACCAACACCGACGACGAGTTTCCCTACACGTCCGCGACGTTTCTCCACCACCAAATCTATCCCTCCTTTCATTCCAATTCTCTGCCACCCCTTTGCCCCACAGTTTGGCCGACCGGTGGGGCTCTCTTTCCTTCGCGTATCCTACGTTTCCTTCTCTAGTTCTCCTTCAAGTTTCACCCAACTTTCCCGAGCCCTTTTCCCCACCCCCGCTACGGACAACGTCGACGCTGCCGCGACGACATACGGTGTATCCTCCGTTCCCTTCTAACCACCGCGCTTCGATATTTTCTATCTTTATTCTCTTTTCGCCCGCTAACTTGCCCGCGAGCTCGCGAGCTCTCTGCACCGCTTCCTCCCTCTGAACGGGGGAATGCGCGTTACAGCCTGAAACGCGCTCGCACGAGTATTTGTTAACGCTGCGACGATACAGTGGGACAGAATTCGCTCGCAACGCGATAAAAATAATCGAACCGTTTCGGTGGGAACGGGGGAAAATCTTCGACGAGTGGTCTCCTCGATATCTCTGCGCGATACGCGATCGCTCTCGTTCTTTCATATCCTTGGCGTGTCGCAGCGGTAAATTGACAATTATAAATATCCGACAGAGTCAAGTTTGTTTTTATATGAACCCTGAAAATTCCAGATTATTTCTAGGTGTCCCGATGTAGCATTTCGAAGGGTCTGTGGACTCTCAGAGGCTCTTGAATTCAACCAAAAAAGTGAATGTTGTAACATATTATAGCAGAGCACATTACAAAATAGGGGTTGAAAAGAGGATAACCTGTTTATTTAAAACAGGTGAATCTTCGCGATCCTTGATTGTGTCTGATAGTTCGATCAACCCAGGCCACGCATAAACGGAACGAAGTTGGGAAACCGATAAAACGATCGCGTCGAGGGCCGATTCGAGATTGTGTAAGAGCAATCAGTTTGCTTCTTTGGTGCTATTTCCACTGCGGGAATCTTTTCGCAATTTCCTAAATCGAAACGCTTGGGGAAACATTGCGAGGATACCACGGTCGATGTAATTTTGCCTCGTCCGTGCCGCTGCTGCGCGTCTGGCACTCGTAAAGCGAGAAATATAGATTTTACTTTCAGGCAGTAGGTCGAGACGCGTCAGATCAGACGTTAGCGGAACTATGACAGTGATTTATCAGGCGCGAGTTCAGCGGTAAAGCGCGCGATGAGCGTAAATTTTGCGACCATGTAACGAATTAAATACGCCCAGCCGTGGGATCAACTGCGAGTGCCCGTTATTGACGTTGACATGGTTTCCAGTAACGCGATACCCCGGGTAAACCAAGATCGCATTGTATACATCGGATAGTGAATTTGTATACTATTATCGTAATTCGATATACGATAGAGAATCGTTTCGAATTTCATGTTTTTGGTAATCAGTTTAGTAATGAAATTTGTGATTTGCTGTTGCGAAATGAGTTGTAAAAAGACACCAACAGTTTTTAGGTCCCCATTGGGGATGTTTAATTAATATGTAATGTAAAATTTCGTACAATAGACAAAGTAGACAAAATTCGAAAAAAAAAACAATGAAAGCTTTCATAAAGGTAGCTGACGATTCTAAAAATTCTAGGGAGCGGTGTGCCTTCCGTGCGAAAAGACTTTTACGTGCGAGCCATAATGTAGCAAACCTAGTATGCTCAACCAACTGCGTCGAACGAGAAAACCTCTATTGTAGTGCATGCCTTAAGCAGCGGCACGCTTCGATGGGGATGGAAGGGAGTTGAAAACGGATGTGCGCGTGGCCGGACGTCGTGACGCCTGCGTCAATCTGCGATTCATTGCCCTGGCAACGGCGACGCTTACCGTTCGTGCCTTTTTCTCTTTCTCGCTAAGCTCAATCGTCGTTTCACTTATCTCTTTCGACATACGGATATTCCCATTTTCCGCTCCTCGTGACTTCTATCTCTTTCCCACCCGTCCCGCGTTTCCTTCTTATCCCCACGTCACGGGAACACACCATTGAGGTTTACCTTCCACGACGTAACAAGTGGATATTGTCATTTCCTATACGATCATTTTCCTTCTTTAGGTACCTTTAGACGTTTTCGTGAGGCCCATGCTTTCTTCTATTCAAACTGAAGGAGATGGTTTGGCATTTTTTAACTTTCGTTCCATTTTTTGTTTCGACGTTTGTTTCCAAGTTTCGTTTTCGGACTGTTAAGCCAACCGGTAGAGAAAACGGAACAGAGTTGGGAGCGAAAAACATATACCTATTAATCTACGCATCCCATTTTATGTAACTGCACAATCGGTTTGCTGTTACTATTTTTGTCACACAAAAATACTCTATTGATTGGCCTGTGTGGAAAATGAATAAACTGAACATCGAGATCAAGCAACGGATACAAAGATGATCATTTCGCTATTAAATTACGCGAATAAAATCTACTAAACTAAAAGTTACGAAAAGCTCTCGCATATTTCATGGGCGGACCTCTACGCTGCTTGGTAAGTGACGCGTGACCGAAAGGAAAAGAGAAGTTTCCCCTAGTCTGCCTAACCCAAACCGTGTTCAGTGTTTTATCGACGAAAAAGCGAGACTCAGAAAAACACATAACTTGCGCTTTAGAGTATAGCGAGTGCTTCTTTGGAGGAAATTGATTTTTATCATTCGGGACGTACGCGTGCTATTCGAGCACGAAACGTCTGGCGTGTCTGACCATTGCTACCCGTTTCTACTTAGCGCGATATTCGTGGCACTGTTCGCTTCAACTGGTTCTATATAAATCGGGTATGTTGGGTATTAACTGGTTAATTATAAATTGGGTATTCTCTTGGCGTTCTACTGTTACCTGCGTACTGTAATCGTTGAATTATGTAATTATAAATTCTTTGAATATTTATGTTAATGAATTCACGTGTGAAATGAAAACGAATTATGAGAGGAAGAGACGCGTGAAAATCATTGCTATATTCAACAATTTTTTTTTTTTTTTAAACAATTGTATTAATGAAAAATCTGTTCGCTGAAGTATCAGACCCACTGTCCAACTTCTCGTCTCCTCACAGAACCTTCGAGCTTCCCCAAATCTATATCCACGTTAACCGACTCCGTTTATGTCGTCTTCGGAAGAAAATCTTACTGGTAAGACGCCACGGCTCCTCGTATTATACCCAGCACTCTCCACTTCCATCGATTGAATAACGAAGATGCCTCCCCCGCCCTCTCCCTTTATCGCGGATAAAGTTCACTGTCATAATAACTTCGGCGTTTCTAAATGGTACGTATATCCGTAATAAATTGTTCTTGCAAAGTTACCGAATAGCTATACGAATAGCGAACTCCCTCCAGCCTGATCGGTGCGTCTCCTACCAACCCACCTTCACCCCGAACCAACCTCAACCCCTCTCACCGAGACGTCGCTATGCTACTCTTAAAGATGCTTTTCGTTGCACTCCCACACAGTGGAATCCGATCGATGCCGTTGTCCCGTTCTGGCGCGATGAAACTCGCCACGTTCGATGTCCTCCTCCGACAAATCGGACCTCGAATCCGACTATACGCATTTTCCATTGTGTACTTCGCGACCTTATCCTTTCTTTCTCTCTCCGTTCCCAGCGATTACTCGGGAATCTCATCCTCTATCCTCGTTTCCTCTCCTGGCACGTTGCTTCGGAACGGATCCGAGAACCTCGCTAACCCAGCCGCTGGAAACGTGTGCCGTCGGATGCGCACGTTCCACGACCTCGAAACTCGCCTACGAAAATCTTTTGCTCCCCGAAGAGACTGGTTATAGCCTCCTCGCTTCAAAGATTTGGAAAATCGAACTTTCGCTTTCTGTTCCAACGCGGAAAGTATATTTTAGGGGTAAATTTCTTTATAAAGATAAAAGTAATATCTATTCATTCGTATATTACTTGGTAGTTAATAAAACTAATCTTAGTCTTCCAAAATAAAAGTCTTCTATTCCCATATCGAGATCTGATCGTATTTCCTTCCATTCATTTATGCATTTCTCGATAATTAACGATCGATATCTCTCCAAGAAGTCTTCTATTCTCGTCTCAAGATTCGATTATACTTCCTTCCATTCACGCTTAGATTCCTTGGTAACCGATAACAAAATTACTAACATCTCTCCAAATTACGATTTCACGATGACTAATATTCTCGTGTTTCGAGAAGATATTTATAGTAATTTTTTATCCTGTTTGCAGTGTACGAATGGTACAGCCTCTTTTATCGGTTTCTTCTAATCGTGTCGTCGCAAGAAATCCACCAGTTCCGTTTCGCGTGCCTCTGGATTCCTGCTACCCGTGAGCTCCGATCCTCTCGTCCCGATTCTTCGCTTCTCGACCGTTGTTGCCCCTCGTTACGGGGTTGCATCGACTTAATTGACCTTTGCTTTTGCTCGAATCCGTGAGATCTCGTTCAGATCTCGCCGGTCTGTGTACGGCAACCTGAAGGACTATCTGGAATGTGTACGTTCCTTATCCGAATATCGACGACCGACGATTTGAATCGCTGAGGATCTTAATCGACGCGGTGGGAATATATTCTTCAGAGAAGACGAGTGCTCGCAAGAAACATTTAAATAACCCCCTATTAATAAAATATTACGGACGACTCCGTTCGCGATCGAGTGCTCCTTTAGCACCTTTGATCGTCACCTTTGAAAAGAATTAAAAACGCTCGGGGCTAAAGATTTCACACCTTTGATTAAATCGGTGATTTACGCGGCATCCAAAGGGATGAGGGTTCTCCCTATTTATTCGCTGTTAGCATCCAGATCAAATCAAGAATCGATGATTCAAATGAAAAAGAATCGTAGAAATTCTTTTTTTAGCTGAAGCCTTCAAACTTGATTTTGCTTCGTACTTCTTGAAAAACATAATAACTGACGCGTTGCGTTCAATAATATTATATACGTATTGCATTTAAATCAAATTACAAATGAATGCTCCAAATGGGTAGCTTTGAATCTTTGAATAAAGCTCAAGGGTCTTAGTAAACGTCTTTAACGTCACATCAATTATGATCCACAGTATCAAACGCTTCACTGAAGTCGCTGTATCGAATATCGGTCAAAAATAGTTTGTCGGTAGCAGTGCACTCGGAAACGATTGTGTCTATTCGAATCCCGTATAAAGTATTTCAAGCATCGCGCTAATAATAAATCTCTGAAGAAACGTACAACTCGTAAAGAAGTGGGTATAATTTTCGCGAGCTAAATTCATGGAAACTGGCCTATTCATTTCCGGCTCGAAAGACTTTGTACCTCTTTCGGTTTACCGAGAAAAGTTTTGCATGCGCGCTGAAGTTTTCACTCGTAATTACTTGGCCATCTAAACTTGCCGGATAAGTAAGAAGACTTCCTCTCTTATACGTCCCACCTGGTTGCTCGAATTAGTGGGGGTTGGAGTTGCTCTTACTTATTAAATAAAACTTTTCGCGTTATAGCAGTGATCGAATGGTAACAAAGAAACTGAACGCAATCGTCCATTCCTTGCTGATAATTTCACATTTCTACGAGAAAAACACATTAAACTTAATAATATCCTTCTTCTTTCCTATTTTATCGTATTTAGCGAGGATTGAAGAATGACTAAAATTATGGTTGTTCGTTAATTGGAATTAGTCCGTAATCGTATTAATGGTTAATGGAAATGTACATTAAACAAGTATCCAGATAATAAAAAAAGTGTTTAGAAAAAAGAAATGAATTTATTCGTACCGTTTCATTTACACGGACATAATTCTCACGGAAAACAAACTGATCAACAAACTGATTCAAGCTTTGTAAATTTCGGAGAAAATGAATGTTCGACGAGGGGAAAAAAGTGATACAGCGTTTAGTATGATCAGAAGATATTGCATTTGCGCCTCGGCAAAAATATAAGAGTGATAATTAAATGACAAAGCGTGGAACGTAGACACTCGTACGAGAAGCAAGTCAAAATGGGGAATTAAAAAAACTTTCAATTGCTAGCATACGACCTGGAACCATTCCAGCCATTACACTCATAATTTATCAATTCTTATAAAGCTCGAGCAATCGTAAAGGAGAGGAAGCGAGTACTAAATAATTACACGGCGTCGTTGCGATCAGAAAACACGGTGAAAGTTCTGATTGCCGTGCTGAAAATCGCGTAACAACATCGAAGGGAAGAAAAAAGCAACGCGACTGGAAAGGAAGTGTAAATACTGTGAAGTGAAGCCAACGAAATGGTAAATACCCAGTCAGAGTTCAGGTCAGACTGAAATCTACGAAAGGAAGAACAGGAAGCTGTACGTACAGGATACTTATTGCAATTGCGTAGATTGTAATACATTTCTTAACACATTTGTAATACCTTTGCTTACACTCGTAACCAGTCGTTCTACTTCATTTTTAATTCATACAATTTAAAAGCGATGCCTAAATTGAAAACTGGATTTGAGCGCAAATAATTCTAATGGCGGCCATTTTGGAGCAGCATGCAAAATGTTACGAATTACAAATTTACTTTAAGAAACTTACTATTAATTCCATAACAATTTATCAATACTCGCATACATCACTGTAAAAATCTTTTTTAAGAAGAATAATTTAAAATATTCCGCTAGAAGATTTTGTACAGAAGAAACACTTCGATAGTACATAAAAAAAGTACACGTACAAATAACTCAAAATACAGGGTGTCCCAAAAATGTTGGAGTTCCTTGAAAGAGGAGGTGATTTGAAACAACTTTTTCCTTTGCAAAAATGTCGGATGGGGCTTCGTTAAGTAGATAGTAATAAAAAAAGAACCGACCAATCAGAGCGCGCGGATACCGTTGGAGCGGCCGCGGTAGCGAAGGCTACGCGCTGACCGGCCGCGTCAATATCCTTCGATGCACGTCGAGTCACTTGTTCGCGTACGAGAGCGGCTACCTAGCGCGTAGCCATCGCTATCGCGGCCGCTCCAACAGTATTCGCGCGCTCTGATTGGTCAGTGTTTTCCGTTAATATCTCCTCAACGAAGCCTCGTACAACAATTTCGCTAAGAAAAAAGTTGTTTCAAATCACCCCCTGAACCACCCTTTTCAAGGACCTCTAACATCTTTGGGACACCCTGTATAATCTCATAAATACATGTTTAGAAATGCCATATTAAATAATTTCCACTCCCGCAACAATTACGCGTAAAAATAAAAGAGACTCACCAAAACGAGGCTTCATATGTGAAGACGTAATCTATCCGGTCCCTCGGTTCACCATCCTCTCAAACTTCATAACTCGGTCACTTTATGTGGCGTCTAAAATTGCACATGAAAAGCACATTAACCTGCGATTCGATGTAGCGTTCGTAGAACCTTATAGCCACTACTGATTACGCACTTTATGTTTCACCCGTGAGTTCCCACTACGGATTAACTTTCGCGCGAGTCGACGAACTTTGTCCGAACTTCGATTGTTAACCTCTTAGGCACAGTTGATTCGGCGCGAGTCTGTTTATTTGTACGGCCGAGGTCAACGCGAATTACGTGTAAGGCACTATAGTCGTGCCTAAGAGGTTAACGTAGTCACTCGTGGACGCCACGTTGAATATAAAGTCGATAGACTCGTAACGTAAACAAAGAATGAAACTGTCAGTATCGAAATATCGACAAGAAGCAGCCACGCACCTTTCGCGTTTGAACCGAATCGAGGTATGTATTTGTTAAACGTTATTTTCCTGTCAAGCACGCGCGTAGAATAGGCGTGATACGTTAATTGATATGTCACTACCGAGCTAACCGCGTCTGTTATAGCCTGTGTTTCCCTGAACTTTTGAAATTCCACTCTAAATTTTGATTTGTCTGCGCAGTGAGCGGTGGGGAGCACCGAGGGATGTCGCGCACTGTTTGCACCACGTGTCCGTTCGGAAAGTTCGCGGGATAAGGGGTGAACAGGCCACGTTGGTGTTACAGTTACCTGCCGCATTGACCATCCGCAGATAGCGTTATCAAACATTCACAAGGTATACGTGTTACACATGCGACTGGAGGACTGTTACTCTTCCTTGTATAGATTTGCTACGTATACGATACATTAGCTTCGTTCCTTTAATAAGAATGTTATTTCTAACCTTTTTTTTTTTTTTAAATCACCGACGATCGCTGAACAATAATTGCAGAGAATACATATTGTCATGTGTATTATCTGTTTGTATAAATTATTGTACTTGACTGGTAGAATATATTTTGTGCAGCCAAGATTGATTTCCAGTTCTATGGCGCTCTTACACAATACTGTTTAATCTATTATAATACTAAATAAATCATATTTTCCACATAAATCTTTACATAGTATAAAATAAAATCCCTGGCAGGCATCCGTCTGTTTCACTCTTTTATAGAGCATTTCTCGAGAAGCATATATCTATCTTTAAAGACAGCCCTCAATGCCGTATTTTCAGCCATGTAGTTGTACCCGTGTTGACGTTAAGAAAAAAGACGACGAATATCGTTTATAAGGAGAAGCGGGGACAAGTCGAAGCCAGGACAGATCGCTAGTGAAAAATAAATTGATTGTTGTATTCATTTATACGAAAAAGACTTTCTTAATTTACTCTTAATTTAATTAAATAAAAGGGCATTCAAATTTCCCGCGGGAAATTGGACTGCCATCTAGCGGTGAACATACCGAATTATTTTTCGGAGTTTGATCCGCGCCTTTCTCGGGAAAACGCTCAAGTTTGTCCTCAATAGTTCCTTTTTTCACCGCTAGATGACACTTTTAGATGGTAATTACCGACATGATGGTAATGTACCGATAGTTGTCGGTAAAAAAAAACAGTATAAATGGCGCCATCTAGCAGTGAAAAAGAGAACTATTGAGGTCAAACTTGAGCGTTTTCCCGATAGAGGCGCTGACTAAACTCCGAAAATTAGTTCGGCTTATTCGCCGCTAGATGGCTATTCATTTGAGTAAAAATAGCGGAAACTCACAAGAGAAACTGCGATAGTTTAAAAGTTTATAAAAGAGGGCTAGTCTATTATAAAAGGAAACCGACCAGGACTAATTTTAGCGAAGCAAATGACGAAAAAAACGGCAAAAAAAATGTTGGTAGAAAATTCAAAATTGCTCCCAGGAGAAGTTGGGACAAGTCGTTAAAAAATGATATAATGAAATTCTGTGTTGCCGCTTTTAAACTTACCGCTGTTTTCAATGTCACATTCCGCACATTGGTTCATTTATGCGACCAGGTGTTGCAGCACCTTCGCCTAGAAATCGGTTAATCAACAAATATCATTGAAGGTCTTCGTTACGCACAAAGTTTACTTTTGCATTATCCAACATTGATTTATTTTAATATTGTTCCTATTTTACTGTAAGGACAATGTCTTATCAATTATATCGAAACACGACATTAGGTAATACATTACAGGAAAGTCTTGATGAACTAATTCAGGTATGCTTATATAAATTTGTTCAGTAATCGAGGTTAGAATTTTCGTAGAATATTGAATGCAATTACTATCGAAGTAATATGAAAATTCTGATCAAAATTTATTTTCTATATAGAATGAATGTTTACCACAAATTAAATACATAATCTATAAATTTTCTTTAAAATTATATAATAATACAATGTTTATAGTATGGACAAATCACACCACAATTAGCAATTAAAGTACTATTGCAATTTGATAAAGCAATAAATCAGGCACTTGCAACCAGAGTTAAATCTAGACTTTCATTTAAGGTATATGTCCGTGAATATATGCATTTAATAATATTTATATCAATCGAATTGTATAAATGTTATAATTGTCATTTATATAAAATTCATAGGCTGGCAAATTAAATACTTATAGATTTTGTGACAATGTTTGGACATTTATGCTAAATGATGTTGAATTTCGTGAAGTCCAAGAAGTTGCAATAGTGGATAAAGTTAAAATTGTAGCATGCGATGGAAAAAGTAAGTATACTACCATATTTTCTAATTATTAGTAATATGTTAAAATTAATTAGAAAACAATATTAATAACATTCATATTATTACAGCATTGGATGCAGATGCAGCAACAAAGCGATAACACTGCTACCTTGCATGAGCAATTATACTTATCGTATCCCACAGATAAGGAAGTACTAATTACAAAGAAACTTCAACATATATAGTAATATAAGCGAAACACATTATACGTTCAGCTATAGTGGTTAAATTATATACAGTAACTATAATCATGACACTATGTTGAAAGTAGGAACATAAAGATTACTTGCTTTTCTTTCTTACCAGAACCTAGTGTTAGTTTTATTTTTATATTGTATTTGGAAGTGAATAGACTTTATACATCATATGTCTACTACAACTTATCTTCGAGAAATACAAAAATATGTTGTATAATATAATCTTCCTATGTGGTCCAACATGTTGTTCCAAAGATGTAAATAATTCTATAAACGAGACTGCAAGGTTTACTAAGATATCTAAATAAGTGATACTAAATGGCATTAAGGATATACATGAACGTTGTTCATTACAATGTACTTTGTACTACAAATATAAGTCTTGGATATTAACAACATTTTCTTACTACTTATAATAATTTATTCATAAGTAAATACAATAAGTTTATGGTCAGAAGTAACGTACCTATACTTGTTATCGTTAATATGATGGTTTGTCTGATATTTTTATTATGTGGTGTAAAATTTAATAAATAAAGTACAAGTATATTTATAATGTATTGCCCATCCAAAAAGAAACAAGGCACAATATTAATAACTGCTAGTCCTGCAGAAAATATTGTAATGTATTTGCAGAAAAGCACCAAAGCTTCTGGTAACTTTGAGTTTAAAAATGAATATTTCGGTATCCAATCAGATACATCGACTGTTCGATAAATGTCCGCAGGATGTCCAAAAAATAGAACATCTTTTCCTTCTCTTCTCTTTATTTGAACAATCTATATGAAGTATCTTGATAAATTAACCGTTATCCAGACAATAAATAAGTGTATCTTTTGGTTCACCTACCTTAGTGACATTATCAAGAGAAGGCTTCAAACAATGAGTATCATGAAATAAACATTCATGACTCGCGTAACAAAAATGTTGCGATTGATTAATCATAATTCTAGCTGGAAGGCAAGAGTGTGGTGGTAAATGGAGAGGAGCAGCTTGTGGCCCCTCAATATATTCAAAGCACAAACTTCCACTAACTTCACTATCTGAAGTACAACAATTCATGACACCATTAGTTTTTTGTCTGGCTGGAACTGATTCATCATATTCCTAAATGTATACATAAATATTACAAAAATATATTAATATAAAAATATGTAAGAAAAAAATAAAAAGTAAATAGGAACAAAATTATTACCTGAATGAATGACTGCTTAACACAATATCCAAGAGGAGGCTGATTTACTGTATTTAAGATACAATCATACCAATCTTCACTCTGCTTTATAGGACAGTCATTTATTTCGTATATTATATCATGTTCAAGAAGTCCTGATGGGCCTAATACAGGCGAATTCTATAAATGTAGATGTTTACAATAAAAGAAAATTAACAATAAAAACTTAGTTTTGTTATTAATATGCATCTTCCACTTACTGGTAAAATAGTTTTCACATAAATCCCATTACCAACTGAATAAAATGGTGTCCATAACCATGTAGAAAGCATAAGAACAGTTGCAGCAAATGTAGCCAGTACAATGTTGTGCCAAATTCCAGCACATGTAACTCGTAATTGGTTTTTTAATGGTAATGCAGTAAGTTGTTCACTGCTTATATGCACATAAGCGATAGGTATTGTGAATGCAATCAATACTCCTAAACCAAATAATTGAACATCTTCTCTTGCTGCAGCCAATGCATGTCCCAGTTCATGCATAATACTACAAACTGCTAATGTAATTACATAGTAACCAATTTCATTAAAGGGCACATCTATTCCAGGTAACTGTAAAATGAATGAACTTGTATACTATTACATTTTTTCTTTAAATTTCAAATAATAAAAACACTAAAAAATATATTAAACATGCAATTTATAATTTTTAAGGCTGTTTTATCACTTAAAGTTTTTTAATACTGAAATTACTTAATATATATTTTTATAAATGAAGTTCTATAAAAATAAGCACTTAAAAATTATATCGAAACAAATTTACCATGGTTTCTAACAAAGGTTCAGAATTACTGTTATCAAGAGATGGTCCATTAGTCCATATATTGAATGTCATCTTTAGAACTGCAATTGTTGCAATGGGCAGAAGAATAACGCAAACAATAACTCCTGCATTGAACCATGCAGTCCAAAACTTGGAACGATCCATTCCCCATTTTATTATTTTACGATTAAATGCTGTTGTAAACCACTTTATTCTTAATGCTTGTATTTCTAAACCAGTATTCTTTAAAAAGTAAAGATATGGATAATGTGAACATGTCTGAAACATACAAAATAATATTTTCTTTAGTATTATTTACAAAACATGAAATAAATGCAGTAAATTATTGTATTATTATACTATAATACGTCATGGTTGTAAGTTTATGTCAAAAACTGCGTTCATTTTTAGTAAATTATACCTTAAAAATTGTGTCAAAGAAGAACAACGAACAATGAATGAGACCTATCCCAATTAATACACTTAAAGCATCCATTCTCTGGAAATTTATTTCGATATTCTATGTGAAAACTTTTCATATTACATTAAATATCAATGTTCACTTCGTCTAATGTCACACAACTTGAATCGCATTACATGTTTCTTCAAGCACAGTTGTAAAAAACGTAAAACTATAAGTACAACCGGTAGATTTATCCTTGTCGTGTTAGGAGAAAATCACCAGGCCTATCCTTTCTCCTGTTCCATAGACAATTTGATTGGTGAAGGAAAAAGGGCAAATGAAGTTAGTGACTTTCTCCTAACAGTCTTCAAAATTAATTATCGAAGAGTGTAATCAAGCAATGACATTGCTGATTTTACAGTTATTACTAAATAACCAGACAAAATTAAGATCGAGATCTACCAAATAAAAATTACTGATGTCGGAAAACACTTGTTTAAACAAGTATTTTGCATTTGGTTTGTAAAAATATCTTTTAAAACAAGTGAAAATATAGATCTACATGTTCTTTTTATGGGTGACACTATAAAATTGACCACGAGTAAAATAATCGATATTATTTTATTGATTGATCGATATTAAAGTGTCATCGTTTATGAAAAATAAGGAAGACGAATGTAGCTGTAATAAAACTTTGTAAATTAAACAAACGCAACATAGTGATTTTTATGCGTAACGATATCAGACTTGATTTAAATCCATTTATAAATACGCATCAGAAGAATTGCGAATTTTACTTATTGGATCCAAGAGACCAGTAAAGCTTATAATATGGCTAACTATAGAAAAGCCGGAAAACCTTCACAAAATGCGAAGCCTAGTGAAGAAACACTGTTAGTATTTCAAAAAATGTGCAAAGATCAAAGAATCCTAGCTAATAATTTATCGGAAATAGAAGCTGAACTGAATGAACACAAGTATGAATTTTCTAACCTACATTAATCATTCGTTTTCTTTTTTTTTTTTTACATACAATAGAACTCTACAATAATTTTTATGTACAAATAAAACTGTACACTCGATAGTTTTTTCAATGGATACATTATTAGATTGGTTGAATTCTTGTACATAAATTTAAAATATTTGTACATTTAACATTTTAGCATTGCAATTGACACATTAAAACATGTAGACCCAAAAAGGAAATGCTATGAACTGGCAGGATCTGTTTTGTGTGAACGTACTGTAGAAAATGTAATGCCTGGATTAATAAAGAATAAAGAAGAGGTAAGATTTATTTTAAATTTTAGTTTATTAACCATAAGTAATGTGTTTTATGATTTGTAGCTAGTAATAGTTATAGATGATTTGACTGATCAGTTAAGGGAAACAGGAATTGAAATAAACGAATTTAAAAAGAAGCACAACATTAAAATCAGAGGACAACAGGATTTACAACAAGAAGGTGAAGATTCTATGAAAGGAAAACGAAGCACAGTCATTGTTTCCTAATTTATTTGCATTTAAACCACTCTTTAACATTTATTCATTTAACATTTTTACAAAACATTCTGTTAATTAAAGTAAGCCATAAAAGAGGAAATATTATTTAAAAAATATTTTTATTTGCTATAATTACATTTTTCATATAAAAATGGTAATTTGATATTTCATCTCTATGACCTACATTGTAGGTTCTAGAACTATACCAAAAATAATTTACACACCAGTCAATATCAGCACACATACTCCACAGTCTAAAACCATAATCTGCTGCTGAGAACATTATATCTGAATGTTTACAATAAATATATATTTATTTGATACATGACTATGTCCAGTATAGTACTTCATGCAAATACTAATTACAACATCATGTGGTCCCATCTTGTCATATTTGCTATCCTCTTGATTGGGAACGCATGAAAGACTTATTGTTTGTCACATTAAATTTAATTTGTAGTGTACCACTTTAAATGTCTTAAAAACATTATAGTGGAAACCCAATAATAGGAATTCCACTTGTTATACCTAATACAGCTCCTACTAAGTTCAATATTCTATTACCTAATTGAATACAACTTTGTGGCTTCTGAAAATAATACCAAAATTGAAATAATTGTATAATTATAAATTAATAGCAGCAAAACATTATAGGAACTTACAGAAATGTCAGTACAAAGGAATCGAATATTATATTTGTCTCTTAATTTTGTTGATTTATGGGAGGCCATTCCTATACTTTTTGTGATTCCTTGGCAATTTACCATACACACAGCACCACAATTGATATAATGTTTATCTATGAAACATATGTTTGTCTCTACCTTAAATATTAATTTAATTCTATATAGATAATTGTTACAATTACTATTATTGAACCTAAGTTTTATGCTTACTTCAGATAAGGACTGTACTCTCCAATCAAAGACAAAAATAATATAATCTATGCTCAAGTTAAACCGAATCTTGGTAATATCACTAACAGATTCGCACTTGTGCACTATAACCCTCCATTTTCTCTCTTTAGCACTTTCATGTAATGCTTCAGAAACCTTATGACATAATTCTGCCGGTCCCATAACCTATTTAAATGCCATTATCAGAGTTCCAAAGTTTTCATTTAATATTTCCAATGTAAACATAACCTTAAAAGGTTAGATTTATTCTACTTCAAATAAAACATTAAAAAGTTCATCGAACATTAAAATACTACATAATACAATAATAAAGGAAATACTTTTATTCATGTAACAATAATAATAAACAATACATCATAAAATTCAAGTATTTTAAACATACCAAAAGGGAAACTGAATAGTCACTTCGAGGTTTACTGAATTTAGTGAGAATTTCTGCCATAGCTCTTCTTCAAAAACATTTAATTTGGAGAAGTCTCATCGTCGGATTAAAATACACGAAAATGTTCACTTTCATCTCACAGATAAGAAATGACTATTTTGTATTGCTTGATATTTTCATTTTCTATAGTGCATCAAACAGGAGATGAATCGTCATTGATCATGTCAATGATCCATTGTCAAAAACAATTGGATATCACAGTCAATAAAGTCATAATAAATTTCTATGAGTTAGCAAATAGTATAGCCATTTGGCCAATTTGACAGTAAACGAATCTAACGAAATTGAACTTTTTTATTAAACATATGATCAGCACCATCGGTGGGGAAACGCCCAAGTTTGTAGTGAAATAGTTGGAATTGTTTATGCTAGGTAGAGCTACTAAGTCAATTTGGTACATTCTAAACTTCATAGCCTGTAGTGACTGTACATACATATGTGTGTGTACGCTACCATAGCCTATAGCGTAATAACTATATGAAGTTTATACCGGCTGGCATCAAACTTTTTACAGATCAGCAGCTACATTAAGAATTGTCTAATTGAATGTATCGTTTATATGTCAATAATTTTTTAACTCTCGGCTGTGTTTTGTAAGGAACTAGGAAGATGTTTAAAAAGTACGTGCGTCATGTCTGTTAAGAGAGTCTAACCTTCATTTGGTAATAAATTTAAGTTTTATTATTTGATATTTGCTTAGATTCGACGAGAAAGACAGTGTTTCCGGCGTACAACAATTGAAATCATCGGTACAAAAAGGAATACGGTCAAAGCTCCTAGAACTTTATCCACATTTGGAAAGTCACGTGGATGTTATAATACCGAAAAAGGATTCCTTTCGAATTGTAAAGTGGTGAGCCTTTTTTTTTTTAAATGAACGTATCTGAGATTTCTTAAGAAATGAATTTATTTGTGTTTACTTTTATCCGTCAGTCATGATCACATAGAGATAATAGTAAACGCCGCCGGAGATCTTTTATTTTTTCGCCAACGTGAAGGACCTTGGATGCCTACTTTAAGATTATTACATAAATGTAAGTGACAGCTTTCCATGAAACTTCGATAAAAAATAAATTATAAAATTAGTATTTGCATTTCATGATGTATTAGTCATTGATATATATTTAAATATTCTAGACCCATTTTTTTTACCAATGCAACAAGTTGATAAAGGTGCTATCCGGTTCGTTCTTAGCGGAGCAAACATTATGTGTCCTGGTCTAACGTCGAAAGGTGCAAAGATGACACCTGTACAAAAGGGAACAGTCGTTGTATCCTTTGTTAAAATAATTTCAATTGTGTATGTTTAATGATTTCGATATTTTAAAAACTATTAAATTCATAACTTATAATGTAGGCTGTTATGGCAGAGGGCAAGCAACATGCTTTGGCTGTTGGTACTACTACATTGTCGACGGAAGACATGTAAGTAAATAAGATGCATGAAATTAAGTACACATATATATGAAGTATGTAAAAAGCACATGATGCATTAAAATAATGTAATTTACAGAGCTAAGGTGAACAAAGGAGTGGGCATAGAAAATTGTCATTACTTGAATGATGGACTTTGGCAAATGAAACCTGTGAAGTAAAAGACTGATATACATCATCCAAGATTTAACCGTGTACGAACATCTTGTTGTACAAATGCATTCTCTGGCATTTTTAAAAACTATATGTCACGTTGTGAAGTGATGGTTCCAATCACAGTATCTCAAAATAAAAGATTAATAATGCATTTTTATTGTACAAACTGAATGAATGTATCAATTTTATTATAACTGTTTAAATGCATCCATATTATTCAAATGTAGTTCTACAGTTTACATAAAATCAAAGGAATACTATAAATAGATGTATGTAATTATAAAAAAAGTAATTAACCAGATCCTGATTTAATATCTACTTGTCCTTCTTGATTCTCTGAAGAAACCGAACGTTCGTTTTCGCAATGCCCCGATGCCGGAGAATAAGATGAATTATTTGCATCAGATGTTGGTACAGAAACAGTGTTTGAACCAGGTACACTATTATTAGGAGAATTATTTTCTCCGATGGCGTGAGGAGATTGTGGGTGATAATGAGGACTGTGCGGACTATGAGGACCATGAGCATGAGGACGACCCATGGTGTGCGGTGAATACTGCGAATATGGTTGATGGTAGTATGGGTGTGCATATTGAGGATACGGTTGATGATATGGTTGCTGCTGAGAGTAAGTATAAGATGGATGTGGAGGTCTTGGAGCTAATGGAACATTTTGAGCTTGTTGAGTTGGTCCTGGTTGATATTGTTGACTATAGCCTTGATTTGGCGGAATCATCTGGGATGTATGTGGATTAGAAACTGGCCCTTGTGATGGAAGCACCTGTGTTCCCTGAGTTCCTTGTGTTCCTTGATGAGGTGGCATTGAGTGATTACCCAACATTCCTTGCTGATGAGTATGTTGTATAGGAGGAGCTGGCGAAGTAACAGGAGGCATAGGTGGTGCGTTTGTAGTTGCATTTGCTGGTGTACTCGTATTTATATTCACAGCAGGAGCTGATGTTGTAGTAATCGGTTGCGGTGGTTGCAAAGAAGGAGGTTGTTGAGTTGATTGTTGCGAATGCTGTTGATGTTGAGATGTGGGTGGTTGATGTTGAGTTGGTGGTTGCTGCTGCTGCTGCTGCTGTTGTGGCTGTTGCTGCTGCTGTTGTGGCTGTTGCTGCTGCTGTTGTGGCTGTTGCTGCTGCTGTTGTGGCTGTTGCTGCTGCTGTTGTGGCTGTTGCTGCTGCTGCTGCTGTTGTTGTTGTTGCTGCTGCTGCTGTTGTTGTTGTTGCTGCTGTTGTTGTTGTTGTTGTATCGGACTAACAGCTCCACAATAAACTCCAGAATTAGAAGCATGTTGATTAGAATTTCCTTGAACCGACGAAGGTTCAGGTTTATTTTCAGTGTATGGTGGAGAACACGTTTCCTTTTTTATTTCAATGTTAGGTTTTTCAGACACGTTTGGTTTCTTTTCTATTGCATCGTTTTCAGGAACCTATAAAAAGCGGTAAGAAATAATCGGTACGATTAGAATTTCCTAATACTACTTACATCGGACGGAGTTTCGTCATTAACGGAAGCAGGAGTTGGCGTAGGTGTAGAATTTGGAGTTGATTCATTTGATGCAGGTCCATCCGAACGATTTTCTTCCGTGCCTTTCAATCTATCTCGTCTAAGCGCTTCATATTGTCGTTCAACCATTTTATTAAATGTGTCTTCATCTACCGCAGGTTTACAGTGCTAAAAAAATTTCTTGTATTATATTTCAATATCTATTTTAATAAAAATATAAAAATTTACTTTTTTCAATTCTTCTTGAAATATTTCGCTTGTTTCAATAAATTTTCGTTTCTTTGCTTCAAATTTTTCTTCTATTTGTTGGAGTTCTGCTTCAAGTTTTTTCTGTAAGCATTTAAAAATTCAAGATAATAATTATATTAATCGCATCATACTGTTGAACTAAAAGTTAATTTGTTTTAATTCATTTAACTACCTGGTGCATTGTCAAAGATTGGACTTGGCGACGTAATACTTGCATTCGTTGCGTAGTAACAACAGAGCGAACATCAGGAACTACAGTGTCACTAAAGATTTCATTAATAAGACGATGGTTTCGAGTATACCGAGAGTATGCAACATGTTTCACAGAATATCCATCGTCTTGATCTGTAAAATAAGAAATGCTTATTATTTAGTACTACATACCTAACTTTTGTATGCATACCATCGTCATCTTCTGCAGGTAAAATATCTATCCTTCTATCTTGAGCTGCTTGTCCTTTAGTGCTGCTTGATGAACGTTCATGACTCTCTCGATCATCGCTACTTTGTTGTGCCGCGCATAAAGCTGTGTTAATATAGGTAAAGATAAAATAGTGTTAAATTCAACATATAAGCACGTGTACTGACGTATGCATGCCAACTTTATTGATGT